CTCAAGCATTTTAAACCAAAGTCTTAAAATGTTAACATATCTTGAAATATATAAAGAATAACATGCAAGTTCACCATACACAGCAAATTTAAATGAATTTACTTTTACATTTAATATCTTTTTACAAAATTTAAGATGAAGTCTTTCAATTTCCTTAGATTTAGTAAAACCCCAGATTTCAGCAGCGTAATTTAAAATTGAACCAACAAAAGAGTCAAAAAGCTGACATAACACTTCAGGTTTTCACTGAAATTTATTACAATTAATTAGTAGTACATTTAGAGCTTTATGAGTTTTGCCGATCAATTGTTCTTGATTTAAACTAAAACTACCAGTATAAGTAAATATTGTTCCTAAGTAATTGAAGTTATCGACAATATCTAAATGTTTCCCTTCGTAATAAAATAATTCATTGTTATTTAAAACTCCACGTTTTCTGAAAACACATTTGGTTTTATCGATATTTACTTCTAAGTTTCATTTTTTACAATAGTCATTTAATAACGTCAAACTTCTGTTTATATCATTTGGTGTATCTCCTGAAATGACCATATCATCAGCAAACAGTAACAAAATCAAAACAATATCGTTTATAGTCAAACCACTATTTACATCCCTTTGTAAAAATAATTCAAAGTCATCTAAAAAGAGGAATAATAAAATCGGTGATTTTTTAACTTGACAGATTAATGAATAGTTGTTATAAAAAGATTCTATTAAAATTGTCTTTATATTGTAAAAACATTATGTTAAACTTAAGATAATTAATATTTTTCCTTCTCCGTTCCCGTTGTTGAAATGAACAATATAATCTCCTTTTTCGTTTATTTAGCTAGTCAAAATTGTATTCTTTTATTATGATATAAGTGATTTTTGACTACTTTCTTATTTTTGTTTTGTTCGTTTGTTTGTTATAACCAGTTGCATAATATATGCCTTGGTTTAATAAAAATTGAAACTGAAACTTTACGACAAATAAACTATGTTCAGTCCCTTGATGTGACCTTGATCTTTGAGCTACAAACTTAGTTCATGTAAGCGACATACATAGTCTGCTGTTTTTTTGGACTTAAACGACAATTTATTTTGAGATCCGATAAAGAATTGTAAAGACCTTTAAGGTAGATACCTGATAATTAGAATTAGACAAGTCAGGGATCAATGTTTTGACTTCACCGATTTGGGTTTAATTACGTCCTGGCGTGACACTGTGAATGGTAATTACAGGTAGCTCAAATTACGGTTTATTGACGACAGTGACACTGTACCAAACCCGAAATTGGCGATAATTATTCTTGTTTAAGCTTAAGTGTAGAACGATACTGATACTATCATATCTTACTTTTTAAAAGGCTAATAACTTTATGAATTTTGTGAAACCTGCATTTCAAAAGTCATCCTTTCGTGTATACTTAAAGGGCTTCATCTGAGGTTTTTTTAGATGACATCACTGGAAATATTTGTCCCAGATTTGTATACCATCCGATGAAGATCTTGACCAATAATGTGTGTGCAAATTTTCAGGTCATTCCCTCACCCCGTTTTCACAGGATAATCATTTTTATAGAGCAAATTGATCCAAAACAAGGAAAAGCGTTGCAACGCTCTTGACTGAAAAGCGGCTTTAATTTGATCAAAACTTATTTTTATATTCAATTCTGAGTATATTTCTTCCTTATCCTTTGCAGATTTTCTATTTGAAGTGTTTTACTTTAAATTTGTCAGATTTAACTTTTTTTATGTTTTTACGCATTTGTATCTCAGAGGAGTTCCTTTAAAATGTTTATGAAAACTCTACTTTATATGACTTACGGACCGTACTCTAGACTTTAAATCTACAATACACAAACTAGGTCCATGACATTACTTTTATTTCCACTTTTGTATGAACAGTGTTCCGTTTGGACAATCATGTTTTTAGTTTAAGACTAAAGACATTCTAAGTTACACATAAAGTAATTTTTTATTGCTTGCTATGCGAAGTTTCTACGCGTTGTTTTGTTTCAACACCACGGTGCATTTATGATATCAATAAAACAATGGAACTATTTGAGCCGTGTCACGACATAACCAACATAATGGGTTTGCGACCAGCATCCGCGCAGTCTGATCAGGTTCCATGCTGTTCGTTCTCAAACCCTATAACAAGTAGAGAAACTGATAGCAAACAGCATTGATCCTGCTGGTCGCAAACCCATTATGTTGGTTTTGTTGTGACGCGGCTCGTTTTCGTTCCATATACCCAGTGTTTCACTTTATTCTATACATATATTCCCCTCCCAACCTTATGTAAACTCTCATACCTCCTCTTTCACTCTCAATGCCTCTGAAATGTTATTATTCTTGCCTAGAGACCACCGGGGTCTATTTCACTTGTCTGCGACTACTTCTGACATCCTCGCAGACTTCCATGAATTTTGGTGCTGATTTTAAATCCAATTCGGGTTCTAGTAACCCCCAGGAGCTCATATTGCTGTTCTACGACTGATTCTGGGGCATTCTCAGACTTTCAGAAATTTTTGATGATAATGATTTTTTTACATAAAGGGACCCTCCAGAATTCATTTCGTTGGTCTGCGACTGATTCTTCGGCACTCGCAGACTTTCAGGAAATTTGGGTGCCAAAAGTTCTTTTTTTTTTCTTTGTTTTAGTAACCCTCAGGAGTCCATTGGACTTATTTTTCATGTTTATCTTCCCTTTTACGCTTTGCAGACCCACAAACGGCAGATTTAAAATATCAGGTTTTGGAGCAAAACATCTATGTCTTATGCAAAATGTCGTGGTGGACCTTCTAAATTGCAATACTTATAATTAAAGAAAACATTTGATTGTAAAGATTGTAAATAAAAATAATTCTGAGGCATAATGTGCCTTTTAACAAAAATAATGTATAATTTACAGAAATTGAATTTTTTTTCAGGAAACATTCTTTGAATGGGTTTATCACCAATTTCAGCTAAAATTTAAGTTTATTTAAAGCGTTTGTTTTTGTTTTATTCTATCGTCTTTGTAAAAAAATGCTAGAATTTCCAATTAGAGGCCTACCATCTTAATAAAATATCATAACGGCGAGGTCTTCCATTATTAATCAAATGGGGAAATACCTCGTTTTGATATGTCCTTACATTGATGAAAAATAACACAGGTAATTTATAACTATATATGAGCCGTGTCACGACAAAACCAACATAATGGATTTGCGACCAGCATGGATCCAGACCAGCCTGCGCTTCCGCGCAGTCTGATCAGGATCCATGCTGTTCGCTATCAGTTTCTCTACTTGTAATAGAGTTGGTAAGCGAACAGCATGGATCCTGATCAGACTGAGCGGATGCGCAGGCTGGTCTAGATCTATGCTGGTCGCAAACCCATTATGTTAGTTTTGTCGTGACACGGCTCATATATAATTTACCAAAGCATTTTATACTAGTTCATTTCAGAACTTGTCACTTATATTCATACAAATCGAAGCACAAAAAACAACAACAACAAAAACATACAAAAATCAAAGCACAGAAGGCGCTGAATTTGTTTGGGTCTCAGAATGTAAGAAAGGTGCAGGTTGTGAGATTATATGTTTAGTGCCACCAATGCTTTCCAGCGTTTTAATTGTAGTAAATTGGCTATAAGACTAATTGCAACACTGATATTCAATCCAATGTTTATTTGACTTTAACAATTTAAAAAAATGAGTTACCTTTACTGGGATTTGAACTCCAGACCTCTCGCTTCCTAAGCGAGCCCGAAAACCCTTCAGCCACGGTTAAATTTATATGTGAACGGCCTGAAGAAAACCATATTATTCTAAATTAGGGCTTGTAACGACTTTTAACTGTTGTTTAACACAGATGTAAATAATCCTGAAGCTTACTATAAGCATGTATATTTATAAAGAATCAAAGGGCTTCAAGTTCTTTGGTATTTTCTGATCTTTGCAATCTAAATCGTACTGTATATCTGTATGCAACTAGAGTTGCATCAAAAAATCATTTATGTACTTTTTTACGACAGCCACAGTTTATCCTTGTAAATTATGGCTACTTCCTTAACAAAAATAATTAAAAAAAGAATTTAACAAAAAAAAATGTCCTCGACTTGGATTCGAACTCGAGACCTCTCACTCACTAAGCGAGCGCGTTACCACTGTACCAAGGAGAAGTTATACACAGATTGTCTGAATAATATCAAGTCATTCTAAATTTAGAACTTCCATTGCATTCAGGTTTGTAATCCTTATTAATTTCGAGGTATTTTGTTCAGGGTAAACCTGTTGTTTAAAATTGAAGTAAATATTTTAGCGAAAATCCTCTCGCCCAAACAGTCCGACATGTAGAATCTATATATTCCACTACTCGGTTTGTGTAGTATTCGGTAATCTACAGGCTAAAAATAGTATTTTCATTGATAAAATCATATTCATCCGCGTAATTTGTGATTGTGCATTTATTGACAATTCTATAAGCCAACGCTATTGTTTAACTTTAAATGCGTTGTAATTTGTTGGATACTTGTAACAAAATAAAATATTTCTTTCTTTTAAATCGCTAGTTTTAAGCTGTTTTGAGAACTACTTGTTGTTAGGTTTGTCATAAACTTCTGTGTCAGAGATTGAATGTCCGCTTTGTATTTAGTTATTTTCGATCAGAAAATACCAGAAAACAATATTAGAAATCTTCGACCATTCGGGAATTACTTTGCTTGAAAATTGATGCGCCTGTCTTTGACCATCTTTACGCAGTGATCTCCCCTGATTTTTTCGGCTTTAGTGTACATACAAAAGGGAAGTAACCGCTTCAAAAAAGTGGACTACTTTCGGCATTTGCAAATAAGAACATTAGACTCTGAAATTTCGCTACCATTATTTGTTTGGTCTGACGACCCAAACAAATAAAAACCATGAAAACATCAACATATTTTTTGTTTAAATTAAAAATGTTATTCATAAATATATGTATATATTTTTAATCAGAAATCTAACGATAATTGGTTTACATTGCAGTGTCCGTGCCGGATTGGGTGAACATAGAAGAATATCCACCATACGAACCGGAATTACACGAGGACTTTCCAACCGGCTCGGAGTTTGAGCCCCGAATTCCCCATATACTGCACCAAGCACACAAAGACCATTACGTCCCATTAGAATACGCTTCAAATATAAAAAGCTTCCTTAACTATAATTCTGATTGGAAATATCATTTCTGGACGGAAGAATCTGCTAGACAGCTTATTGGCAGACGACACCGGCCTTTACTGGGAACCTACGACGCTTATTCTCGGCATGCAGCCAAAAGTGAAATCCTTCGTTACGTTGTACTGTATGAATTCGGTGGTGTATTTGCGGACATTGGTATAAAATGTCTAAGACCATTAAAGAGACTAACTTTCAAATATGCGTGTATATTGACAACTGTGCCTTTTGAAATACACGCTATAACGTTTAAAATGCCTTATGTATTGTACCACGATCTGATATTTTGTAAGGCAAAACATCCGTTTTTAAAACAGATAATCGATAATCTGCCGTTATATCAACCTATGCTAAACAAACCTTCCGCCACCGGCCCTCTCTTCTTATCGGCCCAATTCAATATATATAACCATCAAAAATATTACCACACTCCACTACATAGAGAAAATAAAACAGAAGGTAATTCTCCTTTCTTCTACTGCAGCAGACTTCCAGAAATACACGAAGACGCCGTATATGTGCCGAATTCGAAATACTTCTCGTTTGACCTAAGTTGGTTGAACGCTTTATGTCGTGACTTTAAAAAACTCTCTTTTATACAAAGGAGAGGCTGCCTTGAGCTCAAAGGTAGAACAAATGCTGTTAGCAATTTAACTTTCACATTTAGTCACTGGTATATGCCGTTCTACACACCGGTTACCAATTTTATATTTAGAATTGCAATATCAAATGTGGCAGGAGATAGAATAAATAATTAAAGACACAATCAACCTCAGAAATTGTAGAAAGGACAATCTTGCGTTTTTATAATGTTGAAGTTATGAGTTATGAGGTGATGATAACATTCAAGACGCTTTTCATCGGAAGAAAACAGCACTGAATGTAAAATTAAAAGTGATAAAAGTATCAAAATGTAAACAAAGTTGTTAGTAAACTATTAAACACAAAAGACACATTATAGTAAGTATAGTAGCATGTAACAGTATTGCGACTTCCGGTTACAATATATAATTTGCAAGATGGAGGATTGCTTACGAGAAGACAGGAAGACATATTTTTAAAAGAAATGGTAGACATTTATGTAAATTTCATGAAATTTTGTCAAGTACATATTGAACAGATGTCATAAGACACACATGCAATTGTAAGAAAATTGTAAAAAATTGTAAGGAATGACATTGGGCTCATAAGCACACCAATTAAACTGAGATTAAAGATTTAAAGGGCTATGTATCATTTTTACATTTTACCTTGTATCTACAGAAGCAACAGTTTTATATAATTTTATATCGAGGTCTACACTGTAACCGAAATCTTGGTATATACTGTCAAACTCCTGTCTATACTGTAACTCTGCGACATTCACCTCACGCTTTTCTCTTTTCAAACGCTATTGATAAACAGGAAATTCGGTTCAACCGGTCATTCACTTTGAACACAAAGGACTTAAGTTTGGTAGCCTTATTTTTGTACGCATGCTTCAATAATATGTCAGAATGTGAGCTAAATGCGTTTGTCTCTCAATTTAAATCATTTATTAGTCAATAACGTGATAATACCGCGGTGCCGAGTGCAAGGAAATATATGACTAGATACTTGAAAGCGAAGCCCTTAATATCTCTAGGACAATGAACTTCTTGCAATTTTAATCGAAAAAAAGGAAACTACATGTCTTTCTGCAAATAATTCTCCATCTTGAAAACTTTTAACAGACACCGGAAAGCGCGATTTTTATTACAATAAAAGAAGCAATTGATGAATCAGCTATGTCAATGAGTAACAATTGATATATTTTATAATAATTTTGTCTTAATTCTTACAGTTATGGGAGTCAAGGCAAGCAACCATTCTTAAATAACCAAGTATCAAAGTTTGAAATATGAGATTGTGTTTTTAGAGTTATTTTCCCTTGTCACTGTAACACAACACCCAAGAGAAAAGCGTTTTGAAAAATGATGATATACGCATTTTGTTAAAGCAAATGGCTTATCTTAATAATTTTAAATTATATGTTGTTCTGATAATTAAGGCGATTTTAATTCCATTTATTGTTATGATGATGATGATGTTTTATTGATGATGATGCTAATAATGATGTTTTTTTTGTTGTAGTAGTAGTTGTTGATGATGTTGTTGTTGTTGCTGATGATGATTATGATGATGATGATGGTGACGACGACTTCAAATGTTGTTTACAAATGGCGATGATGCTATAATAAATTGTATTTTATTTTGTATGTCACATTGTAATTGACTCATATTGTATAAAAAGTTATAAGTGAGCATTCGTTATGATCACAATTTCTTAAACCTGAACTTTTGTTGGACTCAAAAGGTGTACTTAGCGCATGGTGTAATAGGGGAACCAACATACAGCCTACAATGAAGCATCATATATGTACATTTGTGAACATGGAAACTTAAAATATTATATTGATTTATATAGTTTGTTTGTTTGATTGGGTTTTACGTTACACTGACACAGAACAATGTTTGTTACTCTATACATCAAAATACATGGAAAAAATTTAAACTGATTGCCTAAAAAACCTTACTCAACAATAATTGTTTTGTTTGTTTGTTTGTTTCATTTTACGCCTTTTTTCAACAGTATTTCAGTCATATAGGCGGGTAGTTTCCTAACCATCGTTCCTGGAGACTTACACCAGTACTAGACTACCTTCCTCCGCGCTAACAATAATTGTAGATTCTCATAAAAAGTCACTTATTAATTGAAACTGATAGCTTTTAAAAATGACTTCATCAAATACCGACAATCTTGTTCGGACACAGGGTACTCGCTTTGAAGACGTCTTTGGGCGGATACCCGAAAAACCGACATTCCAGTCTGAACCGAAAACATATTTCAGGCCATTTTTTCTTGCGTGTTTTACAATTTTAAATGTCCCTGTTCAAAGAAAGTGCAAATGACGGTCGGTCCGTTCGTCTGTCCTTAAGTTCGTCCGTCGGAAGATTCGTTCATTTCTGAAAGTGAACCATTTGATCCAGTCTTCTTATCTTACAGCATTATTAATCTTATTGTGTATAAAACAACATTATTAAATTCTTCTTTGAATTTATTAAGATTTTAACATAATATTTGTTATATATTTACATTTTTTCTCTTTCTTACATCTATTTAATTCACATAATATCGTTTTCTTATTTACTGATATTTTTGTTACCAAATTTAACGTTAACGTTTGACGCGGCTTAACACACCGCGTTACGTCATATTTTATGTCAGCAGAAACGCAATGATCAAATTTAAAAACGTTCATACAGTTTATAAGCATCACGACGATACATTTAAAACGCCGCAATAATACCAATAGTTGGTATGTTTATTTATTTGTTTAAAAATGATAATTTATATTAGGAATTAATTGAATGTATCTTAAATAAGATTATTTAAGTGTACTGTAATTACAGCTCAACGCATTCTCACTAACACTGGCGTCGTGTGTTTATAAACATATAAGGTCAAGGTCATAGTGACCTTAATTGTGAAAGCTGTTTCCGCTCAATTACTACGAAACCGTTTGACTTACAATATTCAAGGTCATAGGATAAAAACCTCATTGAGTAGAAGACCCCTTCTGTTTTGGGTGCCCTTGCATGAAAACTATACTTGTTCAATTTCAATATTTGTCCTTCAGCCTCCAACACTGATCACCAACGTTCAAAGAATACAGTCTTACAATGTTTGATTTTTGATTTCTTTTTGTAGGGGTTGGTATGCATGAAGGAAGAGGTCACGGTGACCTTGATTGAAATAACTATTTCTGCTCGATAACTAGAAATACCCATTTGACACACAGTATCTTAGCTTCTAATGATGATCATCATTACTTAGGAGAAGCCTCTATTGTTTTAAGGCGCCGATTTATGAAGATCACGATCAAAGTGGTCTTGCAGAAATGTTTAACATACTAGTAAGTTTGATAATAATAATACAATAATGGATAGCATAAGTTAAATTATAAAACAATAATGGATTTAGACCGTGTTAGTTGTTTAACAGCTGAGGAAAAAAAGTAGCCATGACTGTGCAGTAATGAGTCGTATAGGTAGCAAAATGGAAACAAAGTAGTATTTTCACTTCCATAAAAAAAATAAACTCATTCACTATTATTATTTTCATTGCCAACAAAGCAAACGGAGCAAAGACAATTAAATTATATGGTAAATAAGCTTTTTTTATAAACTGTAACAAGATACCGAAAATAAAATGTTTTTAGAAATAAAAATGATAGCTTTTCTGAGTCAAAATGGGTTTTAATCATTAAATATTCTTTTGACACCAAGCCTTCAATTTTCAAAGGATGATCACCTTTATTGAGAAGATCCCATTTTTGCGCTAATGCCATGAATATGATTTTTTTCCTTTCAATATCAAGATAACCAACTGACCCATATGCTACAAATTCAAAGAATGATAAACATCGTAGGTTTACAATAGGTTAAATGGTCGTCTGCTTTACTGCTCTAGACAAGGGAAAGGACTATTGATAATTTACTGATATGCTCATAGGATTTATGTACCTTGGACACTTTTCAAATTATTATGCCTTTTATTGAATTCTTGGACAACGCCCCTTTCTCATTTGAATTCAAATATAAGCAATATCTTGATTTTTTTTTTTTAATATCCACTGTTTTTTTTTATTTTTTTTTTCATTTTTATTATGCCCCCACTTCGAAGAAGAGGGGGTATATTGCTTTGCACTTGTCTTGTCGGTCCGTCGGTCCGTCGGTCCGTAGATCAAATGGTTTCCGAGTGATAACTAAAGAACCCTTAGGCCAAGGAACTTCAAACTTGGTATGGTGATTGGTCATGACCGGTAGATAACCCCTTTTGTTTTTAGGGTCAAGGGGTCAAAGGTCAAGGTCACATTGACCTTGTATGTTAAAAACGGTTTCCGATCAATAACTAAAGAACGCTTAGGCATAGGAACTTCAAACTTGATATGATGATTGCTCATGACCAGCAGATTACCACTATTGATTTTGGGGTCGAGAGGTCAAAGGTCAAGGTCACATTGACCTTTTAGGTAAAAACGGTTTCCGAGTGATATCTAAAGAACCCTTAGGCCTAGGAAATTCAAACTTGGTACTGTGATTGGTCATGACCAGTTAATGACCCATATTGATTTTTGAGTCAAGGGATCAAAGGTCAAGGTCACATTGACCTTGTATGTTAAAACAGTTTCCGATCAATACCTAAAGAACGCATAGGCCTAGGAACTTCAAACTTGATATGGTGATTGTTCATGACCAAAAGATGACCGACTTTGTAGGTAAAATCGGTTTCTGATCAATAACTAAAGAACCCTTAGGCCTAGAGACTTCAAACTTGTTATGATGATTGGTCATGACCAGCAGATGACCCCTATTGATTAAGGGGTCAAGGGGTCAAAGGTCAAGGTCACATTGATCTTGTATGTTAAAACGGTTTCTGATAAATTACTAAAGAACGCTTTGGCTTAGGAATTTCAAACTTGGTATGATGATTGTTCATGACCAGCAAAAGACCCCTATTGATTTTAGGGTCAAAGGTCAAGGTCACATTGACCTTGTAGGTAAAAACGTTTTCCGATCAATAACTAAAGAAACCTAAGGCCTTGGAACTTCAAACTTGGTATGATGATTGGTCATGACCAGCAGATGTCCCCTAATGATTTTTGGGTCAAGGGGTCAATGTCATAGTGACCTTGTACTTAACGACCGTTTCTGACCAATAACTCAACATCTAAAGTTGCCTGGGTTGATATTTTATGTGCTTTTGGTACACATTTGAAGGTCTTATTAATATAAAAACTTGGCTGTCATTAATGAGGCCTATGTGATTCATAAAGTTTATGTATGCATTATTTGGTAAGATTTTTAATAACTTTAATTGCTGCACACAACCTATGGGGTCACAATAATTATTTACTTGTGACTAGTCATGACCAGTAGATACTAGATAACCCTTATTAATTGCTTGTTCACTGGGTCAGAAGTCATGCATAATAACCTGATCACATGACAAATTGGCTGCCGATAGGGGGCATACATGTTTTACAAACATATCTTGTTTTTTATCATTATTATTTTCATTATTATAATTATTATTATTTGTTTGTTTGTTTGTTTTGGTGTTTTTTTGTTGTTTTTGTTTTGTTTGTTTTTGTTGTTGTTAAAAAGGCAACTACTGTTTTTTAAACGGACAAACGGGACGTTTACCGATGTTATGTAATAGGAAAATAAAAATTCTTAATTGTTGGGTACACACGTTAAAAAGACCAAAATTTGTTCAGTAAATAAACATATCTTACGCTGAAAACAATACAGATGATAGAAATAATCTTTCTCAAAATTTGGCAACACAAACCAAAATGATATTAGATAGTCACGGTATCAGTTACAGTTGGAATTGCCAGTTTGATATTCCGTTTGAAGAGTTAAGGTTAAGAAGTTTTGGCACTTACAACAAAGTTGGTACTGCTGAAATAAATAATTCAAGTCGCCTATACTCTTAGTCAATATACATTATTGATATTTATCTTAAGAAATATTCTTTCATATATGTTTGAACAAAATGTTAATAGAATAGTGTAAACCAAAGTACATCAAACCTCACTCTTAACCCAAATATGTTCAAAGACAGTGTAAATAAAACGAATCTCCGCCAAGTGGAAATCTTACAATTGTTATGGTTACATTAGACGAAATAAATACAAAAAACATTCATCATGAACACATGTAAATATGCACAAAAAGGTACCAACTAATGACAATAACAAAAGTACTCGATGCCTTAAAAGAAGACAGAGCAACAAGAAAATCACCTACAAAGGCCAGAGGAAGCAAGACAGAAAACGAAAATCAAAACAGTTCTGTCCGACAGACTTTTATAACTGTCCATCATAGAGTCGTCCACTTAGTCAGTTAGATGCAATTAAATGAAACCTTTACAGTTTTTAAAAATTGGCCAAAGAAGAAAACAGAATAAGTAAAAGAAGGGGAATAACTTAGAAAAAAATGAATTTTAGGATTATCTGTCATTCTTAATTGGTGTAGTATTCTGAAAAAAGAACTTGTACTTTAAGTTTCAAGTGAATTGCTTTGATAGCTATTACTGAAAAAATAGACTTAACGAAAAAGTTAACCAGGGAATAAAAAAATGAAAAAAGGGGCATGTATTTGCAAAAGAATGATTTTAGGATGATCTTAAAATGACGTTCTTGTATGGCATGTATATCAATTTTGAAGTGCACAGCAATTTAAAGAATCTGAGAAAATGGACCTTAACGAAATTGCCAACGACAACGCCGATTAGAAGGGACCACTTTGGTTCCGTCTGCATCGAAACGTTAAGCTTAATAACGTCTGCAGATCTATTCATACGAAGATAATCAATGTGACATAGTCTTGACATTTCATAAAAAGC